GCACCAAGGGATGAATGGATAAAGAAAATGTAATATACATACACACACACACACACACACACATATGCACAATGGAATATTATTCGACTGCAAAAAAGAATGAAATCATGTCATTTGCACGAAAATAGATGGAACTGGAGATGCTAAGTAAATAAGTCAGTCTCACAAAGATAAGTATCATATGTGAAATCTAGGGATTGGGAGAGGGAGGCATGAAAATAAAAGGGGGACTATTAAGATATGAAAGCAAAACTAGGGAGGAAGATAAGGCAACAGAGAGAAATAAAAGGGGACTATTAAGGATATGAAAGGCAAAACTGGGGAGGGAAGATAAGGCAACAGAGAGAGAATGATAAAGTACATTATATGCATGTTTGGAAATGTAACAATGAAGCCCATCACTTTGTACAATTAATGTATAGTAATAAAAAAAGAATGTGGGTTTCAGAGTAGGGATAAAGCTTTGTGGTAGAGCACTTGCCGAGCACATACAAGCCTGGGTTCAATTTATAGCAACACACACACACACACAAGAATCTGGCTTTCATTGTTTTTTAGCAGTACAAGAGTTTGAACTCAGGACTTTGTGCCTGTTAGGCAGATGCTCCACTGCTCTTTTTAGCTTTAGCTGGTCAAGCCACCATGCCTGGTTTGTTGGTTGATATGAGATCTAACCAACTTTTTGTCCAGGCTGGCCTCAAATCTTGATCCTCCAGATCTCTACCTCTAGGTGTGAGCCACTGGGCTTGGTGAAATCTAGGGTTTTGATGACTTTATTGAGCTGCGAAATCAAGAGATTCTAGAGCCACCACCTCTGCTCCTATCATATGAAAACATTCCTGATGTCAAAATCATTTTGCTCATGTAATCTGCTAAATCACAGTTTCTATGTTGCACATTTTCTTTCCCTTTTAAGATAATTCTCCTTGTATCACAGTATGCTAATGATATTTCATTTATTTAATAATTACACTGACCTTGACTTTTAGATTCACCCTTCATTACGCCAGGCAATTTATTTCTCCAGTAGTACCATTTCTGAGTGCTAGCATGCTAGGAGCACTCTGCAGCACTCTCCTCTTGATTAGGTAGACACGCTCTATGAGTACTTTTTGTAGTATCCAAGTGAGGCAGTGATGGACATGAGTGGAGATGTTAACATGCCATCCATGGGTGATTCATGCTGCAGCCTTCGAGCTGCCCATGAGCTGTGTGCCTCCTCACCGTGTGACAGTGTGTGGTCACATTCCACTTGCTACCCAGTCTGTAAGACAGCCTATTTGAAACTAAATCATAAAGTTACTCAGGCTTGTGTGAAAAGTGAAAAAAAGATAAGTGTTCAATTTCTCAAAAACAGGATCAAGGAGCCTTCAGTTGCATTTTAAAAACAAATGTCTGCAATGGTTTATTCCACTGGCAATGGGACTGCATGCACTTTGTTGCACTTAATCTAAATCCACTTATTCACACAAACTGAAGGAAATCAATACAGTATACAGGCCATCATATGAAGACAATGCTAACTTGAACCATTACTGATCTGTACTTTCAAGGATGCACTTGCCCAAGGATTGCACTTCAACTCAAAGCATTGCCCAGTGGAGAGAGCGCACGTATTTGTCAAACTAACTGACCAAATGACAGGTTGTTTTTGTGGACATTCTTATGGAGGATTATGGCGCAAAAAGAAGCTTTGTTAGAAAAGGTAATTTCTCCATTTGGCAAATAAATACATGAGACGGTTGCAGGCCAAGAATACACCTAAGTCCCAGGAGCCCGGACCCGAGCAAACTTCTTGAAAGAGAACCCTGCACAGAGCAATCAGGCACCGGCTTCTGAACAGTGCTGTCAAGGTCCCACACCACAGACTGCCTACTCTTCAATTCATCCCCTGTAGCAGGAGGACTGAATGGTTGAATTGTCTAATGGGTTTCTTGGATTTACAGGTTGAATTACGTCCTCAAAAGAGCACTGCAGTGTTTTAAAACTTCCAGGACCCAAAATGTGAGTTTCTCTGGAACTAGTGTTGTTGCATACGGAACTGTTTGCATTAAGATGAGTGCATACTGCATTAGGCAGGTTCCTAACCCAATGAGACTGGCATTGCTGTAAGAAGACGGTCATGTGAAAGAGAAAGATGGGCAGGGAGAATGAGGGGTGCCTGGTTTTTCCCTGGCTGAGAAGGGACCCACATCCAAGCCAATCTGGGGAAACAGACTCACCACAGTCCACTAAATTGTCCCCTCAAGAAACATTACTATTCTACTCAACCTGGCTGAAGTTTGGAAAGTCACAATCTCCCAACAACATACAAAGCCAGAGACAGTCTTCTCTTAATTACGTCTTGTAGTTCTGAAGACTCAGTTTGCTGAATTAGAACAGAAACACTGTTCTGGTTTGAATATGAAATGTCCCAGGCACTCACGGCTTGCACACTAGGTCCCCAGCCTGGTGGCACTGTTTTGGGAGTTCTGGAAGAAGGCCTGCGGTGCGGGGGGTGGGGGTGGGGGTGGGTATAGATCTTGGGATATCTTGTCCCTGCCCCTTCCTGTCCCTCTCTCTCTCTCTCTCTCTCTCTCTCTCTCTCTCTCTGCTTTGGTCTGCCATGAGGTAAAAACCTCCTCTGCCACACTCCTGTTGCCATGGTGCTCTGCCTAAGTGTATGGAACCAAGTGGCCATGACTGAACTCTGAAACATAAGCCAAAATAAACCTTTCCTCATTTTAAGTTGTTCTCTCAAGTATGCTGTTATGGTAACAAAAGTACATGTTACACACCCAGTAGGAGTTCTGTGACCTCACTAGCTTTCCTTCCTGAGTGGATCCATTAAAATCTGCAGAGAAACTTCCAATGCCAGTAGCTGTGACTCCTCCTCAAAGTGCCTTCAAGATCCACCCCTTTCCTCAGGCTTCTTTAACTAATGCTTCATTCATCCAGCACCTGCCCCACATCAAGCACTGTGCTTGGTGCTGGGCATCCAAGTCTCACCAGAGCTTCAAGCTCATAGAACACTTGGCCACCACAGTTGTGGTGCAGTAGTAACAGCGTGCTGATGGAGGGGCGAGGCTGCCGTGGGAGCCTTGATGTTGGCAGAGATTAGGGAAGATCTCTGAAGAGAGCGGGCCCTTGACTCAAACTTGAAGATTAAGGAGTAATTTCTAGACCCTTGACGACCATCCAGAGGATGTAGTACAGTTTAAGAATGACGTATCACTAGTTTGGGAATTATCGTTGTGTCACTCCTATGAGCAAGAAAGAACAAGTGAGTGGGGGAAAGTTAATTCAAAATGAAGCTGGGCAGACAGAAGAGGAGTTTCACTTCATCCTGTAGTGTTTCTCAAAGTGGGGTCACAAGTTCCCTATGAAAAACTTACTTGTTTTTGTTTCACCCATAACTATATTACTACTGGACTAAGAGAAAAACGGCAGCAGGAGGAGTAAACTCATGGTCTCGATGCGGGTGACTGTTTACCATATTTCAGTGCCTGCATTGTGTACATCATGAAGTTGTGCTCAGCCCAACAAGAGTATCAGTGGGAGGTCAGAGGAGTGCTGTTTGAATGGCGATCGTGCTACCCAAGACAGCAAGCACGAGGGACTGAAGTACCACGTGATGCATGGAGTGCTATCAGACTCAAAATAACCCACACTTCATGCTCTGAAACACGATTCACATTGCAAAGGACCATTGAGACTCACAAAACAAAACGCCATTTGTCTCACTAAGCTGAAGCCGCTGACTTCATGTCACTGGGCTTTGTGGCTTGTCATAATATATTTTTTCTTTTGGTTCTTATAAATATATGATAAGAAGTTTATAATCAATTTCATATTTTAAAAACCTATTTAAGAGACATTTAAAGATTTAAGTCAACACTGCAATCTGTTGGTGTTTTTCTTCTTTAAATGGGTCTATTGAATTATCCATCATATGAAAAAAAGGCCATGGATGATGGGGAGCCATTGAAGAAACTTCAGAAAGCCTAGTGCTGGTGGCTCACACCTGTAATACTAGTTACTTGGAAGGCTGAGATTAGAAGGATCACAGTTGGAGGCCAGCCTGGGCAAATAGTTTACTAGATCCCATCTCCAAAATAACCAGAGCAAATGGACTGGAGGTGTGGCTCGAGCAGTAGAGTGCCTGCTTTGCAAGCACAAAGCCCTGAGTTCAAACCTCAAGCCCCACCAAAAAAAAGAAGAAGAAAGAAAGAAATCTGAGAACCAATTATTTTAAGAAGACCACCTTGTCTTCACACAGATTGTCCATGTGAATAGACTGCAATGGAAAGACATCTAGGGAGGTGACCACCTATTGTCCTTCTTATTTAAAGGTTCAGTTTGCTATCTTGTTGAAGGCTGCTCTCAGGCAAAGGCCAGGATACTGTGGGACCAAATGCTGACCGGACAAGCAAAACTGAACTAGTATTTCAGGGCATGCCTCATCTAGCTAGAAGGCGCCTCAAATTTCACATGTGTCCTTTCCCAGAGAATTCTGTGGTGAGGTCAGAATGAGATTAAACCAAATCCCATTTTACTGCAGAGAGCCAACAACCATCATAAAAAAACTGCTATGTATGTACATGCTCACACACACACACACCACACACACACACACACACACAAACCAAGGGCCACTGCATATAGGCCCTTTTCAGCTGGAGCTGAAATGAGGACGTTCACCAAGCCATGGGTCACTGGGGCTGCATGAAGGTGACTTTTTCTAATTTTAGACAAAGGCTGTTGGACTTGCCAAGCCATGACCCTGTTGAGAGAGCTCCCTCTCCTAGAGGGGACACCTTTTCTAACTGCATGAAGATATGCTATGAACTGGCTACTTAATCCTGCTTGAGGAATAAGCCTTATCAGTATTACAACTAAACTCTTAGATACTGTGAGGATAAAGAATTCTCTTTCCCTGAAAATTTTGGACAGCATTATGTCTCACCCATAAAAAGGCATTGCAATGAGGCTTCCACAAGGGCAGAGAACTCCCTGCTTACCTCAGGAAGCCATCCAGAATGGGGTACCAACTGATGTATTTCTTCTTAGACGTTTGCTGGGAGTTGAAGCTGAGGACACCTGTAAGAAAGGTACCAGAATTAGTAGTGAGCAGAGATGAGCCAGGGCCAGAGGTTGGCTTCATGGGCCATACAGTCTCTGTCACAAACTAATAACTCTGCTATCAGAGGGACAGAGGCAGCCAAAAAGAATACATAGATGAACAAGTGTGGCTGCACTCCAATAAAACTTTATTTATGGATGCTGATATCTGAATTTCACATAGTTTCACATGTGTCAATGTATTTTTGAGTTTATCATTTAAAATATAAAAATTAAGCCAAGTATGGTGGTGTATGCCTTTAATCCCAGCACTTGGAGGGCTGAGGCAGGAGGCTCATGAGCCCAGGACTAGCCTGGCTACATAGTGAGTTCAAAGCTAGCTTGAAACTACATAATAAGACCCTGTCTCAAAAAAAAAAAAACCAGTATTATAAATATAGAATATAAAAAGATATAGTATATATATTTCTTTGTCATGGTCCAGACAAAATAGAGGTGGGTATATTTGGCCATGAGCTATAGTTGGTGAACCCACTGTGCGGGAACAGTTTCATTGGTTCTAAACTAGAAAATTTTTTTCCCAAGAATATTGCCCCCAATATCACTGCAATTGGAATCAAAAAAGAAAAAAAGGCAACAACAAGGTATCAATTCAAAATATCTTCCTATTATATTTCTCAATTATTCCAGGTGATCTCATTCTTAAAAGAAAGAATCCTTCTCCTAGGAGGAAGATACTGTAAGTGTACCTGTAAGACAGCATCGTGTAGACTGATTTCATGCCTTTCGTGCCTAGAAGACTATGAACTTGGCAAGAAAGCAATGTTTGTCAAGATGCAAAAAAAAAACTGGACAGTGACAATATTTATTCTGAAGGACTGAAGGACCGGAGGACCTGAATTTTAATATAATCCCAATGCCCTCTAACTAGCCTCTTGCTCTATACCATAAGGGAAAAAGTGCGAGGTGAGCATACACCGTGCTAGGAGTCAGAAGACCCGCTTTCAACCCCGATTAAGCCTGTTACTAATAGTGTGACCACCTCAAGCGTTGAGCCTCATTTTCCCATCCGTAACTGGGCTAAATGACAACAGTTCACACCTGGAACATTAGAGGTTCTTGTTCAAGATCAAATAAGTGAGAACGATTGTCGATACACTTTGCAAAACAGTAGGTACTGTTTCATACCAAGCAGAAGTACTATCTACCACAGCCGTTAAGAGAATCGACAAGAACTGGAAGGCCTGAACATGTGCTCATTAGCAAAGGACCACGCCAGAAGAACATCGGGTTCTAAGATGTGCCAGGGCCCAGGTGATCGGCACTAGCTGTTTTCTCACTAGTAGGATCTCACTATGTGCCCATGCTGCCTGATGTACTAACTGGCTCAAGGGATCCTCCTGCCTCAGCTTCTCAAGGATCAGCGGACCAAACAGGTGCTAACCAACTGTGCCAGAAAGAGGGCTCTTTCAACCCTATTTGTGCAGAATAATTTCTCACTTTACAAATCCTCCACTAAAGTTTGATAAAAACAACTAAACCTTTCTCTTTTTAATTTTTAAAAATTTCTTTTTGCAGCAATTGAACATCTGAAACCTTCCATGGGTATGGTTACCCTCAGGCGACGGCAAACTGATGAATCATGTTAATCCCTATCCTCATCTTTCGAGGCTATTTCCCTTCCAACATACTTAACTTCCCCTGTGGACACATGAAAACACATCTTTCCTGCCTGCACAGCCTATCACTGAAGCTCTATCATTCTTATAGGGAGAGAGGAGCATAAGGACAAAGTGACTCCTCTGCCATTTTTCTTTGCTTGCCCCTTAGAAAATAGACCAGTACACCTAAAGCAACTTCATTTATTTTTAAATAATTTCTTCTGCACAAATGATTTTCTGACAAATTTTTACACTCAATTCTTTCTTACCACAAAAGCAATGAATATTCAAAATCATCAATGTTGGTATCTCTACTGCAGTAACATATTGATAACATTTTGAAGTGTTTTTCTAAATGTTTTATTAGTTGTAGCAATGACCTGAAGTACTAACTAATCTTGAAGATTAAACTCATTCCATAAACCTAAAACAGAGGCCAAATGTTTGTTGATTTTCAAATATCAACTTATGAAGGATTCTAGGAGATATTTAACATTCTTTGGCCTTGGGTGACATTGTCCGCATTTTCTCCTGCCTTTCTATTTCCTGTTAATGTTTCCAGCTCAACCAACCTCACATGTCCCAGCAATAATCACAATTTAAAAGGATGTTAGTTCCTAGGCCCAAAGGACTATTCTACCTTCTGCTCACTGGGAGCCAGTAAGCCTAAGGCTAGTGAAAGTCATTTGAAAGACCAAACTGCTTTCTCTTTTCATATGCAAAAGAAGGGATGACAAAGTGTAAATTATAGGCGATCACCCTGAAAATAAGGGAATTCTTACCAGAAAACCAAAAAGTTTGTCTGTCAAGTTCTTGTGCAACACTTTTATTTTCTATCTTTAATAAAACTGCTTCAAAAGCTGAAACTAGATGAACAAATATTTCCTAGGGCAATCCATCTGGTAAGCCCCCACCCTCCAGTCTGTGTTTGCCTGGAAAGTCCCTCAGCCGGTGGTGTCGCAGAGAGTCCCCAGTCTTCTGAAATTGCAATAAATTGTCCCCTTTGGCTAAACTGCACACATCAAGAAAACAAATGACACACAGTCATTACCAAAGTCAACGAGCTTAACTCCTCCTTCTGCTGTCAAAAGAATGTTATTCCCCTTCACATCACGGTGGATGATTCGGTGGCTGTGCAAATGCTGAAGTCCCTGCATGCAGTCCCAACACCACCACACACCGGGAAAGAGAAAGGGGAGAGTTACACGCTTATTTTAAAACAATTACCCTACTATTAATCGGTCAAATCACAGTCCACATTTGGCTATCTCATTCTGCTATTAATAATCCTTGTGTGTTATAAGACAGTTTCCCCATCACCAATATGCAATGAGGATCCAAGCAGTGGACAAATTGTCCCTCCGATGGACATTCTTACCAAAAGGGCTCCACACAAGATGTAGGAGATCACTGATTCATCCAACCGCTGGCCGCATCCGAGGAGGCCTTTGACAAGCTCTGTGACGGAGCCCCCATTACACAGCTGTGAGGGAAGGTGACATACACAGAGAGAGGCAGAAGAACCCAAACAAAAAGAAAAGACAAATAAATTTAGAAGAAAAGCCTACTGATTACAGACTCAATGTACTAAATTTGCCAATCACAAAACTCCAGCCTAGAGTAATTAGACTTCAAATTTCCATTAGCCAGTCAAATCCAGTTCTTTGTCTGCATGCAGTTTTTTATTCAAGCTGAGGATTTATGAGTGAAAGCACACATCCAAAAAGCTGACTTTTTCATTGCCAAGTAAAATATAAAAGCACAAGTTATTATTTCAAGATTTGAAAGAAAAGGCATATTAGTAATCATGGTGACTTATTGGATATTTTCACTTTATGTGACTATTATCTTGTTTTTATCAAATGTGCATTTTGAGGATGAGAAAGGACTGGAAGAGACAAGATGGATGTCCTTGATATCTGATAGGAAATACATTTCAGTGATTTCAAACATTCCTGCCTCCCAGGCCGGCACTGCAAGCCTCTGAAGCCTGGCCAGTAGCTCTTCCTATGTTGCCAAAGCATGTCAGGTTTATGGGATGGAGCCATGTCAGAGTGCACTTGGCCTTCTCATATTCCGCTTTAGGCTTTCAGCAACTTCAATCTCTCTCTCTCCTCTCTCTCTCTCTCTCTCTCTCTCTCTCTCTCTCTCTCTGTCTTTCTCTCTCCCTCCCCCTTCTCTGTTATTAAAACATCCTAAAATTATATTTTGCCTATTGTTCTTTGTTGTGTATTTTACATTGTTAGGACCCGGAATCCTATTCCCCCGAGAGACAGAGAGCCAGGCGTGAATGCAATCAACAAAGCAGAGTTTATTGGACTGGCTAGCCAGGGTCGAGCTCCCACACGGACACGCAGGACCGGTTAGGAAAGCAAGACCCTGAGCCTCTTAGGGGGAAATCTTATATAGACTGCAGTGGCGTGCATATTTTTGTTATCAACATTAGACAAGCAGGCAGAGCACATCCTGCACGTACTTCACATCTTGCTCGTACCTCACATCTTGCTCGTATCTCACATCTTGCTCGTTCTCACATCTTGCATTCTCACATTCTATATGCCCTAACTGAGCCCTGCCTCATTGCTTATCTTATCTACATGGGATGTTTGGTACTGGTTTCTCCAACAAGGGGGTTGGGGCCCGCTGAGACCTCATATTCCTTTCATTCCCCCTTTTTATGGCCTAAATTGAGGAATCATCTCGAGAGGATGAAGAGCCTGATATTGTTGGCGGAGGACCAGAAGTTGGATAGTATTAATTCGACTTTTGACAAAAGTCATAAGTCGGTTTAGAATCCAGGGTCCTATGGTAACAAGCAGTAGGATGATTATTATTGGCCCTGCCAGTGCAGATAAAAGGGTAGCCAACCATGGGGACTGGTTAAACCAAGACTCGAACCAGCTTTCCCCTGCCTCTTTTTCTCGTTTTCTTTGTTCCAGGCTCTTTCGGAGTTTAGACATGGAGTCACGAACAACTCCGGTATGGTCAGCGTAAAAACAACATTCTTCCCCTAGAGCAACATAGTCCCCCTTTTTGGAGGAACAACAAGTCCAGACCTCGTCGGTTTTGAAGTACTACCTCAGACAGAGAAGTGAGGGATTTTTCTAGGTGGCTAATGGAGGTTTCTATTCTCTCTATATCTTCGTCTATGGCTGCGCGCAGCGAAGACATCCCTTTATGTTGAGTAGCCAGGGAGGCTATGCCGGTCCCTGCCCAGCCACCCCTAGGCTAAGTAGGGTAGCAATGGTTAGTGTAGAAATAGGCTCTCTCTTCTTTCTCTCACCTGTTCCTATATTCCAGTATGAATATAGACTTTCCTCCGAATGATAGAGGATGCGGGGCAGCACAACCACTATAACACAGAATTCTTTAGAGCTGTTAAACACCTTAGTTGATAGGCATGGGGTGAGTCCGGACCGCGAGCATAGCCACCACCCATTGTCCTTTGGAATTACCCATTTAATAGCATTTCCCAGGTAGAACTGGCGTTAATAACAGTACATAAGTCCCGTCTGTTCTTTGGCACTTTTCCTAAGCAGGTTCCTTGGCCGTTTACCTGCTGTATGGTCAGACCTCTCTTACGGTCTCCCCAGGAACATTGAGTAGGGTTTTCCTCAGATGAGGTATCGTGAGTGGTGTTTAGCCCTATTGCCTCATAGAATGGGGGCCTCACATCATAACATAACCAACAGGAGTTAGTCATGTTAGGGTTGGTGTGGTTTAACGTCAGGAAGGCAGCACCACTAGCTCCCAGAGGGGGTCTTTAGATGCGGTCATGAGACTGGGCCTCACCAGGGGAGGGCTGGTTTCTGATGGTCTTGGAGTTGTAACATTAGCCCGAGCTATGGTTGAGGAAGGTGGTGAGTTGTGGAAGGTTGGGGAGATGGCTTTACATTGGGCGGCTAAGTACCTTATTGGGGCCTACTGCTGTGGACGGTGGCCCTATGGGCTCAATTTTTAATCTGACCACTATGGTCGAGCCAGCATGTCCACCATATTTATAAAATACAAGTCCCCATACCTTACCTTGTATCCACCCAGGGTGTCCTTCTTGCCAGTTTCAGTGAAAGTGACCTTGATTCTATCTAGATCCGTGGGCTGGCATTTATGGGTGGGTATTGGAATTCTGTGCCCCTTAATATCCCATTTACAAAGGCAAATTTGACTAGGTCTGATTTTGATATCCCCATTTCCATTCACTATCATTGGATGTGACACATGCCCATGACCTACAGAAGGAGTATTGTATCCCCCCACATTCCTGGTTCTTTTTGTGGCCGGGGCAGGCATAAAACCCATAACGTCGGGCTGACTCCGGGGCAGTAGACTTGTAGGCAGGATTGATGTCTCTGAAGCAGAACTGAAGCTCCGGCCACCAAGTTCCTATGGGGGCAGTGCGAGTAGTCTCGTTGAGGGTGGTATGAGTCTCCCCATCGGTGAGTATCCAGGTTTGCTTATAGGGCTGGTGAGGGTTGGTTTCTGCGAGGCTCCCGCTCTGGGCATTGAGCAAGATCAGAGCGATCAGCCACCCCATCCGTGGCTGCTCCTGAAGGCTCTGCATGTTCCCGGGGCCACAAAAGCTTTAGCTTTAATGGGTTGTCTGGGTGCCGCCGTACAGTCCACTCCTTGACCCCTTCTTGTTTTTGATGATTGGCTCGACGCACGTGGGAGTGGTGGATCCAAGGTCCGATGCCATCAACCTTGAGGGCGGTAGGGGTAGTAAACAGTACAACATAAGGTCCTTTCCATCTAGGCTCTAGGGTTTTGGACTGATGCCTTTTAACCCATACCATGTCACCCGGACTATGCCATGTTCCGGAGCCGGGTCCCTCTTAACAGCGTGGTATGCTTGAATTAAGGGCCAAATCCGTTGTTGCACTTTAGCTAAAGCCTGCAACATGGTCAGGTAATTTGGGGCCAGATCACCTAGTTCTGGGCTTAAGGTCCTCTGAATGATGGGGGGTGGAGCCCCATACAGGATCTCAAAGGGAGTTAGCCCATGGACATAGGGGAGTTCCGGACTCGGAAGATGGCCAAGGGAAGGAGCGTCACCCAATCACCGCCAGTCTCCAGGGCCAATTTGGCTAAAGTCTCCTTTAGTGTCCTATTCATCCTTTCTACTTGCCCTGAGCTCTGGGGGTTATATTCACAATGTAGCTTCCAATTGGCCCCCATAGTCTGGGCTAGTCCCTGCAGGACCTTACTAACAAAAGCCGGACCGTTATCTGACCCAATTGCCTCGGGCACCCCATATCTGGGTATGATTTCCTCTAGCAAAGCCTTTGCCACTACCTGACTCGTCTCCTTCTTTGTAGGAAAAGCCTCCACCCAGCCTGAAAAGGTATCTATGAATACCAGCAAATATTTGTACCCAAACTTTCCCGGTTTTACCTCAGTAAAATCCACTTCCCAACTTCTTCCGGAGCCCTCCCCGTTCCGAGTACCTGTATGGTGCCCCTCCCTTCGTCCTGGTTTCATGATTGTGCAGCTGGCACAATCTTCCACAATTTGGCGGACTGCTATGGTCTGGTTCGGAAATCGGAGCTGCGCAGATGTCAACAAGTCTAGTAATTTTCTCCGCCCCAAATGGGTGGACTTATGTAAGTTAGCCAACAGGAATCGTCCGAGTTTTTCAGGCAGAATTAACTTGCCTTCCAAGTCGCTTTTCCATCCGTCTTCCCCTTCTCTAAAGGGGAGTGGGCTCTCATCCAAGTGAAATCCTCTGTGGAGTATTCTGGTCGGGGGGGTAGCGGAGGGAGCTCTGGGACCGGCACGTCTATCGCCGCAACCGTGGAAGGTTGCCCTGTCTCCATGGGAGGACTCACCATTGCTACTCTCTTTGCTTCTTGATCTGCTCTGTTGTTACCGACAGCTTCCGGCGTCTTGGCAGACTGGTGGCCTGGGACATACATCACTGCCAGCCTTCGGTTTTTCCACTGCCATTAATAGACGCTGGACTTCGGCTAGGTTCTTTAGATGTTTTCCTTCTGCTGTGCGGAATCCTCTTTCGCGATAGATGGCCCCGTGGACATGGATGGTACCGAAAGCATAGCGGCTATCGGTGTAGATATTGACTCGCTTTCCTTTTGCCCTCTCCAGGGCCTCTGCCAAGGCAATTAATTCCGCTTTTTGGGCTGATGTTCCGGGTGGGAGGGCGCTGCTCCATACCGTATTTCCTTCTTGGTCGACTACAGCTGCCCCTGCCCTTCGGGCTCCATCTTGGAAAAAACTGCTTCCATCCGTGTACCAGTTTAATTTGCAGCCGGACAGGGGGGTATCCTTTAGGTCAGCCCGTACCTGTGTAACTTCGGAGAGGAATTCTTTGCAGTTATGGACAGGTGTCTGCAGTTCCGGGTTAGGCAACAAGGTGGCAGGGTTCAGGATTACGGGATCTGTGAATGTGATCCGAGGGGAATCCAACAAGAGCCCCTGGTAGTGGGTGAGCCTGGCATTCGTCATCCATTTCCCAGGGGGTTGTTTAAG